AGGGAGGGAGGGAGGGAGGAGACGAGGAGACGAGGAGACGAGGGAGGGAGGGAGGAGACGAGGAGACGGGGAGACGAGGGAGGGAGCAAGACGAAGAGAGGGGAGAGGGGGAGGGAGGATTAGGGTACAGCGGGACTCCAGGAGGGGAGGGGAGGAGCGAGGGCGAGAGCGAGAGGAGGAAGGAAAGGGAGAAGAGGGAAAGAGGGGAACAAAGGAGGGTAGAGGGAGGGGAGAGGAGAAGGAGGAGGAGGAGGAGGAGAAGGAAAGATTCTTACCACCCGGAGAATCCCTTGTTGCTTTCAACGATGTTGGTGTACCTGAGCCTTCAAGTCACATGACAAGGCTCCTCCTTGCTCTACTTACCCGGCCTCCGACAGCCATTTGCATGCCATGGCAGACCTGTTGCCAGCCTGGCATCCGATCTGACAGGAAACTTCAGGAAGGGACGAGGATGATACAAGAAGGAGGAGGGGGGAGGCGAAGGGTGAGGGTGCAGGTGGAGATGGGAGTCGAAGGTGGTAGGGGTGGATCGAAGGACAGACAAGGAGAGGGAGGAGCAGGAGAGAGACGGTACCACAGAGAAAAGAGGAGGATGAGGAAGAGGTCAGAACGAAAGGAAAGGAGGCATTTGCAGCAGGAGGAATGAGCGTATAAACTAACCACAAGCTTCTCATCCTTGTTGGGGAAGTTGGTCTGAATGAGCTTGAGGAACGTGCTGGACATCGGCATGGGGCCTTGAGGAATGTCAAACAGCACGAGGGGATCCGATAAGGAGTAAGGACGGATAGCAGAGGAGCAAGAGGAGCAAGACATAGAGGCCGTGGGAGCCAGGGAAGGGGGGTTGACGAGGTGAGAGGGAGAGCAAGGAGAGAACAGAGACCAAAGAGAGTCAGCAGAGAAAGAGGAGGAGAGGTCAAGAGGAGGGAGGGAGGGAGGGAGGGTTGGGAAGGAGGGAGGGGGTTCAGCGGCAAGACCGTCGCCAGTGATGGCGAAGGCTGGGATGTTGATGGCGTCCGTCGGGTGACCCCTCGCAAACTCCTCGTTGGTCCTGCTCGCGCGCACACACCATCACACTCTGGGGGAGAGTGCCAACCTCCTGCTCCTGCTCCTGCTCCTCCTGCTCCTCCTGCTCCTCCTGCTCCTCCTGCTCCTCCTCCTCCTCCTCCCTCACCTCACGTCCACGTATGTGAAGCCCTCGCTGTCGCAGAGCTTCTTCGCCTCTGCAGGAGTCTTTTCCCCCGTCAACTAGCAGCTGCTATCGCCGACCCTCTCCCTCACCTTCTTGGGCACTTCCGACATGGACAGAGACCTGGGACGAGCTCGTCACGCGTACAGCAGGCAGGCGCAGCAACAAACACATGAGGCGGGGAAGCATCCTGGCAGGCCGAGAGGAAGGAAGCTGCGAGCAGGTCACGAGGAGGAGGCCCGTGCTGTCTTGCTAACCTTGCTGGTGCATGTCTGAGGAGCGAGCGCCCTACCAGCATCGTCGTCATCGTCTCTCACAGCCCTTGCAGTGTAGATGCACAGACCTTCTCAACGTGGGGCACGGGCTCAAGGAAAAGGCACTGGTGTATGCAATGAGCACTGAACGACATGAAATGTTAGTCAAGCCCCCGCATACGACCCGAGGTTTCAGGTCTCTTCTTGCATCTCCATGCTATCAGCTGAACTTGTATACCCTATCTGCCCCTCTGCCTCTGCTTTGTTCGCTATATGACTCTGTATACACTCCGAAAACACGGATCCATGTGTTAACATCGGTTCGCGTTTAGTTTTCCTCCTTTACAACCCTCTGCTCCTGTGCCTTCATGTTTTTTTCTCATTTTCATTCCAAAGACATATTTCATTTTGCGATGCTGTGTTTGTTTCTCTCCTTCTCTCCCTTTCATGTCAGTGCGCACAACTCCAATCCTCAGGCGATTCCCAAAATCCTCCTGTTCGTCCCTTCTCGTCCATCTTGGTCTTCTTCTCTTCAGCGCCGTCTTCTTCCCCTCTATGCAAATATTCTATCCTCTTCATCCTCTCTATCCTCCTCCTCCTCTCCTCCTCCTCCTCCTCGCACCTGCGGCCATGGCCGTGCGCATCGCAGAGGCCATGAACATGGGAAGGACTCTTGCCCACTCCCAACCCTCTTCCGACCCACCCCTACCCTCTCCATATGAAACTCACCCCATACAATTCCACTACAAATGTGGGAAAAGAAGGGGTACACAAATGTACCCTCCATGTATGTACTACCACCACTACCCTCCTGCACGTCCCCGATTCAACTAGAACTTCTCAGTCGTTACTAACCGTTACAAATGATTTTGTACGTTACACAATTCGTTGTTCCAGAATGAGTGGTCGCATCGGAGAGCAAACGATGGTGGGGGAGGGCAAACAGGAGGGAGGGGGAGAGGACAAACAGGAGGGAGAACGATAGGGTAACGAGGAGGGGGAACGAGAGGGAAACCAGGAGGGAGGAGGAGAGGGCAAACAGGAGGGGCGAGAGGAAGAAGTAGACCTAACGAAGAGGAGGAGAGGCCAAGGGCAGGGGTAGAAGACGAGGGCAGAGTAAGGGGGATGAATGGAGAAGTAGTAACACACGTAAGAGGCCGATAAGTTTAGGAAAGAGAATAGACTTAGAAAATCATAATTGTGAGGGGTTAGCAATGATACGCAAATGTAAATGTCTTATCTTGCTGCATTCTGCAGTTGGTTCGATAAGGTGGTGACGAAACATGGGGTGGAACTTGGCAGTCTTGTTTTGAATGTACTTTCGCCTGCTTCATATCAAAGGTACTCGTGACACGCTCCCTGTTCAAGACGTTGACAGTGCATGGCAGCTCGTGTATACAGATGAAGAGTCTCTCTGCATTTCAGGTCCGCTCCAAGCCTTGCTGCTAGCTCATGGTGCCTCTAACATCGCATTGGCCGACTGTCACACGCAGACTCCGATGGGTCTGCGTCAACCGCCAATGCTCTCACGTCCCCTGGCGCATGTTCCTCGTGTGTCACCTCAGAGTCTGTTGCTCCCGCTGATGCTGCCGCTGCTAGGGGACGCAACTCTTCTCTCGCTGCGAGGAGGGCATGCGCAGGAGGATGGGAACGAAGTACCCTCTCGCAATGGCGAGGCCTGCCTGACTTGCATGCAGGTGGTATTCGCTAAGGAGAAGAAGAGCATGCGGGTTGAGCTGTGGGCTGCTCTGTTCGGCATGTCCATCATCAATATCATCGCATGTGCCTTCGCATGCCACTGCGTCCCACCGTTAGACTTGTGACTGTTTACAGCCACAGAGATGGCCGAGGACACGATGGTGCGAACGATGAAAGCGCTGAAACACCAGGCAGCGATCAGTTGACGCTCTTGCACACCTTGACGCCCTTGCAGGTGATGAAGAAAGATTATGCTGAGGATGTAGAGCGAGGTGAAAGCTCCCAATTCCTGCGCCTGCACTTGGCATCAGTGAGTTTGACATGTCCTGATGCCCTCCATGGTCCGTTGACGGGGAGTACTTCAAGGTGGACAAGAATGTGTCGGTGGATCCGCCGTCCTTTGACCAGGCTGACAACGATCCGATGCTATGGTGAGGGCTGTTAGAGGGGGGGCATGAGCAAGGGGCTTCAGAGCAGTGACTCAGGTCAGAGTCAGTGGCTAGACGAGATAGCAGCAGAGACATGATACGGCAAGTCGGTCATGTTTGACTGCAGGTATCGAGTTCACTCCATGGGCATCAGCACATGGGCGAACAGGGCACTGCTGATGTCACTCCATTCCTTCCTGCAAGAGAAGGGAGGGAGGCTGTACCTGGGGGGTTGTGAGAAAGATTTACAAGTGGTCGACTATGGGCTGTGTAGAAAGGTATGCCTCCTCCTCGCCTAGATACCTCGTGCTCCTCCACTTCATCCTCGTGTTGTCCTGCTCGATGTAATCCTCACCCTCTCAGTTGCTCTCTCACTCCTCCCCGGCAGCATCTTATACTGATTCACTCGGTTCATTTCAGGAACTCGACAAGAGCATTCCTCGTTTGAAGCTAGTCTTCCCAAACCAGAGGTGAAGGAGAGAACCTGCTGGAACCCAGCTCATCTCCAGCCCGCAGTTACATCGAGCAACCTCTTCAGTTTGAAAACATCTATTTCAAGCTCGAGAATGTGACGACATGATACCGCCTCCAACTTCATTAGACTGCTCTGACCCTCAAGTTTCCTCCCAGGGCGAGGAGATCCGGGTCGACTTCACAGCTTCTCAATTCGGTTTCTACGACTACCTTCCTTGTTATCCTCGTCCCACAAGGTCTTCAGCTCCCCCTTGCGACGTCCTTTGTGCCACCCTCACTTCCCATGCTGCCAGCGTGAAGCCCATGAGCATGTGGCTTCCAGCGACGCACCCGGTGAACAAGTAGTTGTCCTGCGACCCGTGAGCCTGTTATTTTCACAGACCCCTGAGTTTGCACACTTCCACATGTACATCATGGATCAAGGAGAACATGTGGAAGAGGTGAAGGAGAAACCTGTGGAGGACTATCACGTCATATAGTGATTGAGTGTCGCAGGCCTCCAATAGTCGAAACGTGCATCTGAATGATGCGATCACTGGACAGAATGTTTGCATTGCATAACGTGTTCTGCCCTGAAACTTACAACACTTTATCCTGGCAGGTGGCTTGCAGTCCTTACAATCCTCCAAGCGTAGGACGAAAACAGTCAAGTAGCACAATGATCTGATCATTTTGAAGGTTTCGGCTTTCCACAAATCGTCGGAACAAGTGTTTGGTATTTCCTACTTGGACCAACTAGTCTCGGTGCCATGTTGCTGATTGATGTCATCTTGTCAAACTCTTCTCTTCAAAGAAAGCAGATGAACTTAATCTCACTGCCGACGAGGTTGCAGTGCTGCACTGTTCCTTCATGGGCAGTAAGATACTCCCTTGGATATATCTGCATGCTGGTGACTGTCGAACAGGTTTGGAATCCACCCAAAAACATGCCATAGAGACATTTCGAAACGACACTCAGCCTCTTCTGTGGTTTGCATACCAGTGAGAACAACTAATGCAAAAGTGATCAAAGATTGAATTCGATCGCCAGATATGCAAAAGCGTACATGCACAGCCCTTGGCTCATAGAGGATGGAGAAGATGTAAGGAAGCAAACTGGGATGAAAACAAGACGCTGATATCTGACTAGTTCCTAATGCTCTCAGGTGAACATCACATACTGGAAAGCAGAGGAAAGGCTGCAAGGACTTATTCCCCTACACTGGGCTGCGCTACACGGTATGAACAGAGCAACTAATCCTCGCCTTCTCCTTTCTTTTCTCCCCCCCCCCCCCCCCCACCCTTTCCGTTCCTTTCCCTGTCCTCCCCTTCCCGGCTTTGCCCTTCCATCTTCTTTCCTCTATCCTCTCCTCTTTCCACTCCTTTCCTCGCTTGTTCGACTGAAAACTCGCAGGTTACGACAGTGAATTGAGAAAGATGTTAAGGGATCTGCGCATGAATTTTTCCGAAGACTCTCGAGGATTGAATGCTCTTCACTGGGCGGCCCTGAATGGGCACCACAGCACGGTGAGGAGGAGTGGGAATAAGAAACAATCCTGGCATCTTGGATGCTACGGAAAACAGAAAGTGAAGGCAGAAGCAGGGGGGCAGGGGGAAGGGGAGTAGGAGCAGAAGGAGAGGGAGACTGAAAACTCAAACGAGGTCTCCTCAAATGATTTCTATGGCTGCAGGTGAGGATGCTGGTGAAGGAATTTAATGTGGACCCCAACTGCCGGGACAAGGATGGCATGCCCCCGCTCCTCGCAGCAGCTGGGAACAACTACGTAGACACCGTCCGCGTCCTGCTGGAAGAATGCCGGGCGGACGTCAGCCTGGCGGATGAGGACGGTAATGATCGCTGTTTCCCTCATGACTTGCCTGGATGGTGACGGAGGAGGCAGGTCTTACTGCTGCTCACTGGGCGGTGAACGTCGGCAACTTCGACCTGCTCCATATGCTCGTGAAGAAGCACGGAGCAGACGTAAACGCGATTGACAAGGAAGGGCAGACTCCGCTACATCTCGCAGCATCTCTAGGGAGTCCTCAGATGGTGTATCAGATCATCACTGAGCTCAACGCGAGCCTCCTCGTCCTTGACATCGCTGACTACAACGCCTCCGACATCGCCTTCATGAACGGCAACCCGGACACGCAAGACGTGATCCTTGAGCTGGCTCAGTTGGGTCCCAAGGGGGCTGAGACAAGCTTCGAGGAGGTGATGAAGAGGATCCGAGCTCGACGACAAGAGAACAAGATCCATGAGCATCAAACTGATCGAGGGAAAGAACCCCAAAGTCCTCCTCCAAAGACTAGAACCGAGTCCTCAGGCAAGAAAGGTTGCGAGGAGGAGGCTTGCCTTGTGGTAGAGCATGAACGTCTCTCAGGCTCTCAACAGCATCGATCTTCTAGCAGCAGAGGGACCCGGTTCCCCAAGATCTATGGGCGATCCAAGGATGCGGTACTGGACCAGGACTGGTTATTATGTCGGAGCTGATAAGCTGCTGCCGCCGGCAGGTTCGGATGCAGCTGCAGCAGGAGCTGGCGCGAAGACGAGAGGTCAAGGCACAACAAGAGGCTCTTGAGAGGTCTCAGAAGGGGAGCAGAGGAACGTGAGGTGCTGTAGTCGTTTGACGACGAAAGAAGTTCGGTCTACTCACAGTGGCCGCGACTCCACTAGCTCAATCATGTCAGAGCCCTAGCACAGCTAGCTCAACTGATCTTCGCTACCATTTCGTGTCACAACCCGTAAAGCTTGGGGGTGTGACACGAAATGTGGTAGCGACAGTATTGGTGTTGTAGTGAGTTTTTGTACTGTGTGTTGTCTTCCCTCTCTCTCCACTGTTCTAGAAGAGCCCTGCGGGACCCCGACAACACTGGCATGGCTGCCTGGAGGCAGTCCGATCGTTCAAGACACAACGAGGAAATCATGGAAGACAGTCTTTCAGGATGTCCATGACATAGCGCATGACCCGGTATTCCCCCAGCATTTAAGTGCCCTCCATCAAGACGGTTCGATCCGAAGTTATACACGCCGTGCCATCATGAAGGGGGCAGCGTTCCACGTGCGGTCCCCTCCGAGCGGAGCACTGATGCACCAACAGGATGCCGCACACTTTCACATTTGCCCGCGACGATCTCGCCCCCAAGATTGAAGCGGCGGAGGTCTAGCAGAGACTTGTGAGGCAATAATTGAATACTGTGGAACGTCATGATGCCCAGTCACGTCACTTCCTGAAACTTCGGCAGTGAACGTGTGATCCCGGGTCCCGGGGTCCAGAGGCTGAGCGGGCCCGGGGGGTGCTTTGAGCATGCAGTGAGTCATCGAGTCACGAGTCGCTGTAGACGTCCGCAGCCCGTAAAGCTTTCCGAGCGGCGGGGAGTTCGGGGTGTGACGAATAAGTCAACTTTTGAGATTCCCCCCCCGGGGCTCCCGGTGGGCGGCCGGACCGTACCGTAGTGTCGGGTCTTCAAGGTGACCGTCCTTTTACTCAATGTTAAGTTAAAATGAGAGCGAGGACCGTAGTTTTAGTCAACGGAAAACCCTACTGTCACTGTGGAGTGACTTATTGGTACTAGTCTTTTTTACTCAAAAGTAAGGTGGTGCTGGGCGCAAGCGCTGAACTTCTCAGGGGGCCAGAAAGGAACTTTACAGGTTCCGAATCACTCGGAAAGTTCCTATGGGGGTAAAAGCGCAGGGGACGATTTATTAGGGGAAAAAGGGCCAGGTGGACGGGGGGTGGGGGTTTTATGACCAATAAGATACCGGCCAGCCAAGAGTCGGATGAGGGGGTCCTGTGACTCGGCAAGAGGGGTGGGGTGATGGGAACTGGAAAGAAAACTTTGGGGTGGGGTGAAGGGGCTGCGCTGGCGGACCTACTGGCGAGGACTAGCTTACCACCGTGGTTTCCATGCTGGAAAGAAGGGGTGGTAAGTGGTCGATGCTCGTATTTCTACAATAATAAGAGAGCTAAAGAGCTTCATTCCCCTGCCATGAGCGCGCAGGCCGATGGAGGGATGTTGGACAACTGAGGAAGGTGGATGAAGGTACCAAGAATGAGAACGATACAGTTCCTCCGAACAAGATACCTGACAACACTGATTGCATACAATCAGACAAGAGGCAGTTTGTTGAGCTAAGACGACTCAGTCATCACAAACAATCCCTTGCGTTGAGGAGAGAACAAATTATGCAACCTGACGTCCTCGACGACCATCAGTCAAATCCGATTCCAACCAACAGATCATCTCTCATGAGCTCCTCTATCTCCTCAATGCCTGATATCCTCCACAGCCTAACTCCGTCTCAGACTTCGGACTCCTTCCTCTTCGATCCTTCGGCTCCCCGTAACGTGTCCTACCGGGCATGTGCACAAAACCTCTCTCCACCAGACCCGGCGTGGGCGCCCCCCTGTCCAAGCCCTTGGCAGTCAGACCTCTGGACGATACCCTTCCCCTCGACCAGCGCTGCCCTCCAAGCCTCCCTTCCAAACGCGCTGGAACCGAGCGAGCTATCATACGGGCAGTGCATCCTACAGAACCTCGCGAGCTCTCTCCCCGCCACCTACGCGGACATCGCGCGATGTTGGGACCGTCTGCCCGCTGCTGCTGCTGCTGCTGCTGCAAGCATGGAAGAGGACCAGAGCAGCATACGCCAGGTATCAGGCACTTCTGACGTCAGAGTCACACTTGCTTGGACTGCAACGGACACCTCCTGCTTCTCCGCAGACGTCAAGCCCACTCCCGATCATTCCAGCCTGAGTGTGGCGGAGGGGCCGGGCCTTGAGGAGAACGAGGACGCGCCGGCGATGCTGGACCATGGGCTCATCGACCGATGGAGGGAGACAATCAAACAAGTTGGCGAGGAGAAGGATGGCAGTGAGGGCGTCGTGATCGTCTTGGCGCGGAAGGGGAGGTCAGAAGCAGCAGCGAGGAAGCGAGTGGAGGTGACGTACGAGATGCTGGCGAGTCATTTCAACAAGAGTCTGGTAGAGACGTCGAGAAAGATCGTAAGCTTGTTGCTGATGTGCTCGAGTCTGGTACTGACAGGAGGACGACGATGCTTGCAGGGGATCGGCAAGTCTACTATGAAGATAGTGTGCAGGAGGCTGGGGATCCACAAGTGGCCGTACAAGCACACGGGGAAGAGGCGCAGGCGAAGTCAGATGACAGAAGAGCCGGTGAGTGGCCTCTGGGGGGGGGGGGGGGACGGCAAGGACTTGGCCAACTGACCAAATGTTTGGCCTGCTTGTCGGAAGGCAGGGAGCTAGAGGGTAGGGAGCTAGAGGGTAGGGAGCTAGAGGGAAACTTGTTATGTTGTTTCTTTGTCATAACGATGATGCACGTTGCTGCTCGATTCGGTGAGCCTTGTTTCGTTGGTCGTCGAGTCTTTGATTTGATGCGCTAAATCCTAGAATGTCGTTCTCTCCTTCGAGTGACTGAGACGTACCTGCAGATGCCCTTCGACCTGTCCGACATTGAGTCGCAAGAGGAGGAGCAACGCGACGAGGATGGAGGCAGAGGAACTCAACTTGATCGCGTTGCTGAGGAAGACCAAGGGAATGCAAGCAGTTATGCTCGGAGAGACAGTAGCCGGATGACCGACACATCAAAGTCCTAAAAACTAAAGTAAGTGTGTAAATTTATGCGTGAATTAAGGCAGGTTCCATCATCTCCACGCTTGTTTGCTTTCCCGTTTCTTCTCGTATTCGACACTTTTCTTCCTTGTTCTCCTCCTTCTTTTCCTTTTTCTCATCCTTTACGTTGCCTTCTCTAGTGTGCCGAGCCAGAACCACTCCCTCATCCTCCTTCACTTCTCCTAAATTTTTACCTCTTTTCCTCTAACCTTTTGCTATGACATTTCTCGTCGCAACTTCAACATTTTCATGCTCAATCTCCCTCCTTCCGTTCCTTCTTACAACATCCAGCGACTCTACCTTCTGATCTCCCTCCCTCCCTCCCTCCCTCCCTCCCTCCCTCCCTCCTATCGCTCTCTCTCTCTCTCTCTCTCTCTCTCTCGCTCTCTCTCTCTCTCTCTCTCTCTCTCTCTCTCTCTCTCTCTCTCTCTCTCTCTCTCTCTCTCTCTCTCTCTCTCTCTCTCTCTCGCTCTCTCTCTCTCTCTCTCTCTCTCTCTCTCTCTCTCTCTCTCCCTCCTATCTCTCTCTCTCTCTCTCTCTCTCTCTACCTTCTGATCTCTCTCACCTGTCGTCCGACTTTCTGTGCCCAAGTGGCTTCAACGAGCAACAACACAATGTCTGGTTAGAGCGGCGGAAGGAGGACGCGGGGGCGG